AATTATTATATTATATAAGTGCTGCTACATTGACTAACAAATAGCCTGACTTGCAACGGAGTGCTGCTACATCGACTGAGGGTTTGGTTTGGGCAGGCAGTTTATTAAATAATTAAAAAAAAATTATAATAATTTTTTTTGGCGGATGTAGTTACATCCAAAAAAAACCAGATATGTAACTTCATCTGGTTAATCAATCAATCAATATATTTTGATAATAGATCTTACAATCGAGGTCATTTACCAATAGTTAAAAACTAATCTTAAGTAAATGTCATGAAATAGTGTTAATAATATAAATAATAATGATAATAATAATAATGACAAACTAACATTTATAAGAAATATTAATATTATATAAAAATTATATAAAAATAAACCATTATTAATTTTAAAACAACAATTGAATATTAAGCACAGACAGGAAAGTAACAAACAGTTATGTACTGACAAAATGTAACAACCTTCTATGTAACTAAAACAATTACTGAAATAAAAGGTAACAAGGATGTAATAGATATAATAATATCAATAAATACAATAAAAACAAAAGTAATATAAGTATTTCATTAAAAAAAAAACAATAAATAAAAAAAAAAATTATCAATAACACTCACAAATAAAAACGTGTGAGATTTAGTCACAAAAAATATAGAGTTTTCATAATTAATGAAAATAATCAAATAAAATAGGAAATCATATCATAATACCCATAAAACATATATCGTTCCTTCAAAATTAATAAAATTTAAAACTTTTTAATTTTCTTTTTTTCAAAAACAGAGCAATTTTTATATTTTACTTAATTCTTTTTAATTAGATTATCCATAATGTATTATGGATAATTTAACAAGAGCTTGTGTTTGTTCATGAGATTCTAATTTGAGAAAAAGTGCTCAATTAGGAAAAGTTGTTAAACAAAAAAAAAAAAAACATGTAAGAACCTACTTTACAATAATGTACACATTAAGTGCAATAGACACTTGATGCATTAGTATCTTTACTTTTTCGTCACAAATATTATAATATTTTTAATCCAATCAACAAACCTCTAAATTTTTATAAGTAAATTTATTCTTTAATCGTTGTCTTAATATCCTACCTTATTTTTCATATCATAATTTATTGTGGTATAAATTATATAACACATCTAAACAAAATTATTTTTCGTATATATATATATATATAATATATATATATATATATATAATATATATATATATATATATATATATATATATATATATATATATATATATATATATATATATATATATATATATATATATATATATATATATATATATATGTATATATATATATATATATATATACATATATAATGTATATATATATATATATATATATAATGTATATATATATATATATATATATATACATATATATATATATATATATATATATATATATATATATATATATATATATATATATATATATATATACATATATATATATATATATATATATATATTATTTTACATAATTAAAAAAAAAATTTGTTTTTATTTTACATAATTAAAAAATTTTTTTTGTATATATGTAATATAATATATATGAGTTTGAGTTTGAGTTTGATATATTCAGTAATCAAATTTATACATTTAAACCGCAATAATGCTGTAACAATAATTAAAAAATATATACATATACATATGTATATATTTAAATGTTAAGGTGGATCCATGGTAAAAAAAATGCAAAAAAATGATTTTTTTTTTTAATTGTATTTATTAGATAAACTACCTGCCTTTCAGAGGAAAGTGTTTTTTATACATTGTTTACATTAAAACACTGTTTAAAGTAATAAATTTGTCATCTTATCTTAATTGCTGTTCATAGCAACGCGCATAGCAACCAAAACAGTTTGTCAATTTTTATCTTTTATTTTCCACAAAATCAAAGTAATTAAAGTTTGTGCTACTTAAAATATATATACTATGCTTTTAACTGTTCTGTTGTTTGTATTTCAATTGTTTTATTTGTAAATTACTTAAACTATTTAATCTTGTGTGAGTGAGTTATTAGAGTTATTGAGTTAGTTTTTTCAAAACTATTAAATTAGCATATTTAAAAACCCGACTGAAAATATTTTGTTAGTTGAACAGTATAACTGGCTAACAAAAGAAATAAAATAAGAAAATTAATCGAATGAAATATCGGAATAAAATTGGGAATGTTGCTGCAATGCCACATTGCAGCGACAATCCTAACAGTGTTGAAGGGCATAAACTTTGTCCTCGCAGTTTAAGTAGTTGGTGCAAATGGCAGAGGGATTTAATTACTGGTCAAAAACATATAAACCCTGTACTAGTTTGTCTCTTATTATAAAAAAGAAACCAATATTTATAGATCTTAGTCTGCAGATGATTTGTTGTTGAAGTGCTTAGATGGTACAACCCAAAATCCTAATGAAGCTTTTATCCAAATTATATGGAAAAAATGCCCAAAGAACAATTTTGTTTGAAAACAAACAGAAATTTGTTTAGCATCAGCTGTTTTAACGTACAATGATAGATTGTTAGGATATGAAAAGTTATTTAAACATCTTAACATTTTAAAATTGTTAACTGAAGATTAAGAGTCATATTCTGCAGGAAGTTTTTAAATACAAAATTTCTTTTGCATTTTTCTGCATTTTTTGTATTTTTGAATGTAGTAATCTTAAAACAACTCTAGCTCTAGATCCGCATATAGTTAAATGTTCAAATTTTCAAGAGTTGTTTATTATACTTTAAAATAGTGCCTGAGCTAGGATCTTCAACAGAATTTTTTTTTTTATTGAAATATTTATATTTCCCCATCAATTTTTAATCAAATATTTGGAATATTTACTAATATAGCAGCCATTTTGAAAGTACATAAAAATATAAAATAATCCTAGTTCAGGCACTTTATCAATATGTTTTCTCTAAATTGTAAAAGTTTTAACTTGATTGCATAAGTACTTTTTAAGCAACAGTTGTTTTACATAACTCACTTTTTGTGTATTTTTATGCTGACTCAGCATGTTAAAATAGCTATGCATTACTTTTTAAAGAAATTTTTTTCTCTCAGTTATATTTTTGTTCATATTTTAATTTAAAAAAATTAAAATCAAGAGTATTAAAGATTTTAGTTTTTTACCATTGATCCACCATATATTATTTATTTGATGAAGAGACTTTTCCAGGAGTCTCTATGCTGCACTATGCGTCGCGAAGCCGAAATAGGATTTTACTTACTTTTCAGAAAAAAAATTTCAATTTTAATATTTTAAATATTTTTTAACTGAAACAGGTTAGTATTAGTTAATAAAAAAAAATTTTTTTAATTTTTTTAAATTTGCCTTTTTAGGTGCGGGATTTTCAGGGGTAAAAAAACCCATGTTTTCACTAAACCTTTAAATTACATAAGATAATTTTCGAATTTCTTCATTTTTTTTTGCACGTTTTCTAATAAATGATACATTTCGTAAATTAACAACCAAGAAAAGAAAAAAAAAATGTTTGGATCATTGTTTTTAGGTGTCTGTAAAGATTGATCGATTAGACCATGTTACTACAGAGGTAGCCAGTTTTTTATTTTTTTAAAATTTTCTCAAACAAATTGACTTTTTATAAGTAAAATAATATTCTGGCTACCTCTGTAGTAACATGCTATAAAATCAATTCAAAAGAGGTGGATTTATTAAAAACCGGTTAGTTAGTTTTTGTCAAGAAACTGGCAGCAGGCGGAACATTCTTTTCTAGTCTTTAAGTTATAACCTAAGTTTGGCTCTCATCGTGATTTAGAATTTTTTAAAAATGGTTACTTTTAATCTTAGCAAACTTCTGGCTGATAATTATCCTCCAAGGCATATTTTCACGAGTAAAAATGTATCTGAATGTGCTAAATTTTTGCAGTCCAAGTTTTTATCACTTTATGCTGATTGCACTGTGAATTTCAACATTTTCAAAATTCTGGCTTTTAATTTAATAAAAAAATTTAATGAGTGTGGAAAAAGAAAAAAGTTCTTTCTTACTAAATATAAACATTTTTTGGATCAAAATCAACAATGTAAATATCTCTTGTGAGTATAATATATTCTATATTGATTTATTATAAATAAGTAATAAATATTGCATTATAGTATATATATAAATATATATATATATATATATATATATATATATATATATATATATATATATATATATATATATATATATACATATATATATATATATATATATATATTTATATATATACTACTTTAATTCATATTACTTTAAAAACCTAGGAGTCTTTATTCCCAATAACACCGTGGTATTCACGTTAAAAATTGAAATGTTTCTGTAAATCTCGTGTTTAGGTTCTTCAATGTAGTTCAAATGACCCTTATGAATTCTTAAATTAAGAGTTTTTGGGCCTGAAAAGTTACCGAATCCCTTCTTTTCCTTTTTTTCTCTTAAAGAAGTTATGTGAAATTTGGCTGGCAGATAAAAGTATCACTCAAAAGGCGATTAAACTCCAACTGCTAATTTAATATAATTTATGCGTAAATTAATTAAGTGAGAAAAAAACAAAATGGAGCGCAATAAGAAAGTTGCGTATATTTTTAAGTCAATTTAATCTAGCGTTATATAAGAAAAATAAACTTTGTTTACAAGGAATATTACAAAATAATAAACTGTTTCCTATTTACAACATAATTTTTTTTAGAACTTTTGAACATTAATAAAATGCAAAAGAAAAAATTATTTTAATTTTTTTTGTTATGAATTTTTTACATCTTATATAATTATCTATATTGAAGTTATATAAATACAATATAATGCTACTAGTTACATAAATAGTTATATATAAATCTTTTTTTATAAATACTACTAGTTATATAAATAGTTACTAAATAATCTTTTTTTATAAATACTACTAGTTACATAAATATTTATTAAATAATATCTTTGAGGCATGAAGTAGTAAGTACAATAACTTTTCTCTTTTTCACATTATTTTATATTTCTGAAAAGCAAAGGTCAAAGTGTTATGCATTCGGTTATATTTTAACAAAGCTTATTTAAGCTTTCTTCTCGAAGAAAAAATTAATAAAGTATTAAGCTGTTGTTGTTGAATTATATTCAACTTTCGTTTCAACACGAACAAAAAAAAAAGGAATAATAAATAAAATACATCTACAAATATGGAGTCAGTATAATGATTTGTTTGTAGTATTTGGATTTTTACGAAACTAAACAATAACTAAAATAATAAAAACGTTTTATAACATAGAGCTGCATTTTGAACATGACCATTCTGCACATTTGTGTTTGAAAACATAATAAGGGATACGTTCACAAGCGCGATGATACCAATTTTCACATATTTCACATTGCACCATATGTCTAAATATAATCCCCAGTTAGACAAAAAGAAATTACGTAAACAAAATACAATGCAATGAGTTATATTTACCTATCTTTAATACAACTATCCGAAGCTAACCAGATTTGTCTACAAATGCAGTAAAAGGAAAAATAGAATTCTTTTTCTTTGCAGAATCGCAAAGCTGTTTCGAACTTTGGAAACTCAGTAAACTGATTGCCTTTCACACATTTTAGCAAATGATTTCTCATTTGAAAAGCATCAAAAGCAACATAACTTGGATTTGATCCAGTATCGGTAATATGTTTTATAAAGGCTAATGCATACAAACCCCAATCAACATAATTTGTTTGTTGTTGCACCGGTACAACGCGGACAGTTAATGTATCTTCAGTGCAATGCATAATAGCAGAAATTTGCCTAACAACATGGTTTTTTACTTTTCCACAAAAAAAACTGTCTAAATGAAAAACCTTACCAACAGAACATCCAAAAGTATTTATAGCCAACCAGTGGGCATCGCCATCATCCAACACCTGGACAAAAGATGCTTTTTGTACAAGAAACGATAGATTTTTCAAAGAACCGGATCTTGGAGACCGCCTACACCTATGATCATCTTTTGCATGGTGTAAACTACAATGTCAGACAACATTTGGTTTGTTAAAATATCGTTCAAATCATTGGAAGAGAGATTACAGTTAGTTGATAAATGGTTTAGTCTTTTTATCGCGAATCCATCATTATCATTAATAGTAACTGACTCCTTATTAATTATTATACTATTCCCATCAATATGTTCAACAATGTCGACCTCAATTGGCTCGGTTTTGTGTTTTTTTTCCTCTAGAAATATTTTAGAAGATGCAATAACCATATGTTTGTGATTACCAACGCGTAGGAAGCTTCATTGGTTTACGAACAGGAATTGGAATGATCCTTTTTAAATGACGAGGCAACTTGATATCCAATGGAGAAAACGGAATTTCTGATTCTTTAGTTCTAGTTTTTTTAAGTTTTTTAATGAGAGAAGCAAGAGTGCTATATACAAGAACAATTTCTTCTGAATTTTCCTCAAATTCATATGTTAGGTTTTGAATTGTTTTAAGCATTTCCCTAACATTTACTCCAGAGCAAACACTTGTAATTTTTTTAGATTTCTCATTCCTATAATGACATCTAATTCTTTTGTAGGTAGAATTGAACTTTCCGGCCTACTAAATGGTGGTTTTTCATGTGATGCTTCATAATCATCAGCATCTAAGTTTAAGAATGGTGAATTTAGATATAATGATGACAAAGCACTCCATGACCAAGCAGGGTACTTTCTAAATACTAAAAAAAAATGTTTGCATGGATATGCAGTTGATATCCAATTTAAACAAATACATTTTAGCATTGTAATCTCATCACCAAATGATACAAAATAATTAGTAGCTGTCTTGGTAGAACTTAATACAGCAAAAACTCCATGTTTAATCATGATTACTCCGGAGAAATCAAGATTCTCAACGTTACTTTTTTTTATTAGGCAATGTTTAACAAAGCTATGAGGACGGTTGTAAAGATAAATTGGCACCCAATATGCATACCTTCTGTAACGTGCATCCATTTTAAAGTTGGAATTAGTATAGCTAAACGAAATAATATTCATAGTAACAAAGTTCCTTTAATAAAGTATTAGAAAAAATCCAATATTGTGTAAATGAATGTAAATGATTTGGTATGTAGTACTAAAGACACAATATCTTCAAAATGCAAAATGCAATGGTAAGGAAAAAAAAATTTATATTAGTTACGTGAACAATCTATACTATGAATTATTATTAAATATATTAGGGTAAAAATCTGCTGATCACATACTTATACCAAGGTTTTCTGAACTTGTTTTTTTTTAACCAGAGGAAGTGTTTGTTGTTTTTATTTAGGTGTGAATTACTTTTAAAAATTAATACAAACGTAACGAAACATTAAAAAAATGATACCTGTCAAGTTTGTCAATGAAGAAGTTGTCAATAAGCAAAGTTAACATTCCAGTGATGAGTTTTTATGTCGCTGTAAATAAGTATATTTAAAAGACTCATTCTGCCTTTCCACACCATGGTTTGTATTGCAATTAATAAGAAGACGATCTTGCCTGTACCACCAAACTCACCTCTAATTTAAAAAAAGTTTTTTTTTAATTTTGTTTGGTTCAGTTAATTATAAAAAAATTAAATAACTCTTTGTTGAATCTGCCTGTATTTTGATATAAATCCATATTAAACGTTTTACTTGCTTCAAAAATTTTATACTTTACATACTTTTTTAATTGGGAGCCAATACTTTTCTATATATTGTTTAAACTTAGTAAAGCTTTCTTGACTCCAGAGTTTAGACTGTTCCAATATTCTTTGAGCATTTTCTTCCTCGTCAATTGACTTTGACCAAGCGAGTCGTCTTAAAATACATAAAATGTCATCTTTTCTGTTAGAGCAACCATTTGATAGCTTTTTTAGCCAACGGTCCCAAGACTTTTCTCTGTAAAAGTCACATATAAATACCTTACATCCTAAAAAATATATTCAAAACAAGTTGATGCATTGGATGTTTGTATAGTTAAATTAACTTCATGTAAAATAAATAAATACTAAACTTGTTTTACAAATGCGCACCAATAAAATAGTTTTGAGAGCACGTATCTCAGCATTACAATAATCAGTCATGCAATAAAGAAGTTGCAAATCTTCATCCCAAGGCTTTAAGATAACAAGTGCTTCAGATATTGATTCAAAAGTTTCACTTTCTCTAACAAAGGTTGCTACAATTTGATAATGCACATTTGTTTTGACAACCAAAAAAACCAAAGGTAAAGAATATCGTGTCGTTTTGTATGTTGCATCCAAAAACAACACCTCATTGCCATATTTTTTTAGCAGTTTTTTTTGCCAAAATGCTTGATATACAAACAAGAGCTCAGCACTGTTACCTCGTTCTTTAGGTCGAAAATAGATATTGACAGACGAGTCAGCTTCTTTCCATTCTTTTATTTTGATTTCTAAGCAGTCCTGGTCGATGTTCGAGTATCTAAAACGTTAAATTTTATATTCTGTTTTAGAAAATAAAATATTAAATTATAAAAACTAGTAACATACCTTTGTTGTTGTTTTTAATTATATGATTGAGTGACTAATTGATTGAATTGGTTGATTAAAAAGATTGATTAAATGAATGAATGACTGAAGTTATCTTTAATATTTAATAAACACCTAAAACCTCTCTTAAATAGCTCTACATATTATAATATTTGCAACATCAAAATTTATTTATTTTGCATTTTTTAAACTCTATTACCTTTGCTTTAGACGCTCTTTAACCATGTGCGAATGAATTATGTCAGTTCTTGGATAAAATCTTCTGTTGGTTTTAGAAGGAAGATTTTTCTTTCCAAACATTTCATTGACAGTAATATTTAAAAGTCTTCTCATTTCACGCACATTAGAAACACCATCTTTAATGTATTCAGAATTTTAACTGATAAGCTTGGATTAATTTTTTGTGAGAGTAGCTCAATCTAAGAAACGTTAAAAGTCTTACTGTTATAAAAGCTAATAACAAAAAAATATCAGAGTTTTATATCAGAGCTTCTTTTTTCATAGGCGAGTGGCCTTCACAACAACTAAAAAGTCCACATTCCCCAATTTAGGATTTAACGTCGTCACCGTTTTGTGTAGGTTCTTTATGAATATACAAAAACTATTGATTATAGTTAAAATAAGACTATTTAAACGCAGTTAAGACAACTCTAGCATTAATACCTGGCCAAGAGGGTGATTTTTGTGATCATTTAAGCAGTCTCAGGTGGTGCAATCTCAACAATAATTTTTCGATTAATTACCACATCCTTTTTTTTTGTAGCAACGAATATTTTATTTCTTTTGACTGTTGCTTCTTGCGATAATTACTGAGATTAATAAGCTGAAAATAGTATTTAAATAAGAAAACTAAACAAAGACTATTTCAACAGTAATTGATCAACAGCAAACAGTTAAGAACTTAATAAAATATTGTGAGTGCGTAATAATTTATAAAATGATTTCCTATTTAGTAGAACATTGTAATGTCAGTAGATTTGTTACCTTGAAGTCAGTGAAATATACCACTTCTTTTATAATGGCTTTTGCAGGACAATTAAACTTTTTAGTATCTTGTATGATAACATAATCAGTTATGTATAAATGATCCACTTTCTTTTAAAAAAAGATAGCCAAAGTGAGCATAAATATATTTGACAACGATGCGAATTGTAAAAATCGGAGAATCTCTACCTGATTTTCTTTTGCTTCATTATTGCAGCAGCATTCCGATCGAAACCATGGTGACAATTGTACCTTTTTGTAGATAATATAATATAAGTAGTAGCATAGTCTTCAGATGTTTCCCATAATAATTTATGTTGGGTTCCATGTATAACTAAGCAAGGAAATTAGGATATCATGTTTTGTGTATGATTTCAAATCATGTGACTGTGCAGAATTATTATGCACACACATTAGAACAACGATTTAGTTAAGGTGATTTATTAGCTATTTGAATCATTGTATTTCTAATTCGCACCATTTTTTTTTTTTTTGTGTGTCGCACCTCTTATTATATTTTAACAATCATTGTTCTCTTTTTTTAACATTATTTAAAAATTTTACTACAACTAACACAAAGTGTAAAGAACATCATTTTAAAGAGATATTGATTTTGCTTAATAGCGTTTTTGCAAAAAATTTGTCTTTTCACAACAGATCCTTGTTCAAATCTATTCAGGTGCATTTAATTTAACTTTATTTTGATTTTAATATCACATTTAATTTAATATTAGTTAAAATATAACATTTCTATCAAGTTTCAAACAAATTTAGAAATAGAATAAACCAATAATAAATAAAAAATTCCAAAGACTGAGCTAAACTAATAATAATAAAAAATGATAATTACTTTATCTATATAACGCACTTATTTTTAATTTTAATAAAATCTGAAAAAGGAAGCCAATTTTTTTCTGAGTCAATTTTTGGTCTGGGTTTTCGTAAGAAATATTTAAATTTTATAAATTCATATATTTCGTGCGTATGCAGAAATTAAAATAACAGTCATTGTTTCCCCATAATTATTTTATATTACAAATAACATTACTTAAAAAAAAAAATTCTTCTTAAAATATATACAAATATAATTTGTTTGCTTTTACAGCGTTTTAAAATAAAAGTTCCTCATTTATTTATCTAATAACATTTGGTTACTCAAAAACTGCAGATTTCAATTCATACACACTGTCAAATTAAGTACCAAGTCTTCATGAAAATCTTTAGACTATGCAAAATAAGTTGTACCGATACGGCGTATATAAGCACCAGTTTATAGAATCAATTTTTTTTAAATCTAGCTAAAGTTTATTTTGTCCAAGTCAAAGTAATTAATAAAACATGAAAGGTATATTAGAAAAAACAGTAAGTTTATCAAAACAAAGGTTCCAATTACGTTAAAAAAAAAAAGAAACCTTGTTTTGATAATTGCCCACATGCTTAGGAGATATTTTACTAAAATTGAATCGTTTACATTTCTAAATTAAATCCAGTGGGTCTCCTGTAAAAAGAAAAAAAAAAAAAAAAAAAAAGAAAAGGCTATTATTAGGCATTTAAATTGTACATCCAACTGAAATTGTTTAATATATAATTTCGTTTAAAGTTTATTTTCTGAAGCACATGCTGGTATTCTGACTCAATATGCAAATTAATCAGAAATTAAAGCAAAACAAAAACAAATAAAAAATGTTCAATAGGTTAAACATAAAATGATTTATAATTAAAAGTTTATATTATTTACAGTGACCATCTATAAGACGTGGGTGGATCCCCTGTGTATCCATCAGATTATATAATAAGTTGAGGAATAAAAAATGCGTTTGCATGAATATAAAAATCAAGGTTCTTAGTTAATGATTATTAAAAACTGATTTTGATTAATAATTAAAACTGATTTTGATTAATAATTAAAATTCATCAATAAACTTTGTGATGAGGAGAGCAAATAAGTAAAACTAATCATTTAAATAATGTTCAGTTTTAGAAGCTGATAAGGATACACGTGGCGGAGCTAAAGTAAAAGGCTGCAAATTTAAGTCATTGTGTTACTAGTATACCGAATTCCAGGCTCTGTAAAACCAAAATCCAAACCCCATGTTGCAAATATAAAGCATGGCTAATAACATAATTTTAAAAGTTGAAAATGAAATATAACTAGCAACATATATATAAAAAGATTATTTATTTTTTTATTAGTTACTAATGGTGTCATTAGTTATGTAATAATCTCATTAAGAAAAAGCCATTTTTTTAATACCCAACTTGTTGAATCATGCTTTAAAAAAAATTTTTGGAAAATGACTGAGATAGTATTGATATTAAATGAGATCCAGTGGTCGATTACATGTTCCAACAAAAAATGTTATCTGATTTGAGTTAAGGAAATTGTGCTTTACCAAACCAAAAAGGTTGCAATTTTTTCTTTTTTTTTTCACTGATTCTAAGAACATCTTATAGAAAAGTCTATAAAACTCATTATTTTGTATACTTCTTTTACAAAACTACATTATTTTGTATACTTCTTTTAGATCAAATCTGTGTCATTGTTGTTCAAGTGTTAATGAACCTAATTTAAGTATTGTCTGTATATGGAAGATGTTTTGCTACTATTATCAATTTGCTAAACCAATGATGTATTTTTTAGACTATCTTTTTAATAATCTTCGACATAAAAGAATGACAGAGTGATGCGAAATATTCCATGTGTGGATTTACTAATAAATTATCAAGTTTCAACATATTATTAGAGTGCTCGTTGGTTGTTGTATGGTTTATCGCATCTGTACACTGCCAATAAAACTCTGATATATTTAATACATTTAACAAACATCAAAGTTAGATACACAAGCTCTAGGAGGGTGCATTATTAACCAACTTAAGTTAAAGTTGCATGTATTTGAAAAAAATTTGTCCAAAATGTTCAAGTCTTATAAGATAATGAACATATCATAACAGACTATAATTAGGGCATAATTGTGACAATGTCATGGACCATGGTTACAACAAGAACTATGTTCAGGGCCAAAAACTAGTGAAAAAATTAAAATAGTCTTTGTTCTTGGTACCAAGAACGAAGCCACATATTTCAAACTTTAAATTAAAAATGTAAATAGCTCTAAAAATGTAAATAGCTCTAAAAAAATATCCTGCATCTTGCTATAGATAAAAAAAAAACCGTTCATAATTATGATAAAAACACAAACCTTTTTATAGAATTATTTACCTTATTGACATAATTCTATTTACACAAAAATGTTAACTAATTCAAAGACAATGTAGAATTAAATGGCGGACTTTAAAACGGCACACCCCAAACTCGGTAAACAACGAAAATTTTCGTTACGAAAATTAAAAGTCAATTTTCATTGGCTAATAAATTAAATTACTTACCACTTAAATGGCGCGGTTTTACCATTCTGTAAAATATTCAGTATATTTACCGAGAACTTTCGTAACGAAAGCTTTCGTTGTTTACCGAGTTAGGGGTGTGTCGGCCAAAGGAGTTTTTTCTGGCATCTCGAAATAACGAATGAAGAGTGACTAATAGACAGGTTCTTGCTAATTTATATATATATATATATATATATATATATATATATATATATATAAAATTACTTAAGAATCGTGTTAATATTAATACAGAAATTGATATTGAAAGAACTAGTTTAAAACTGAGTATATGATATACTATATATATTAAGTATATACCTGGTTCTTAATATATTGCATATCAAGTATAATACTTGATATACTATAACAAGAACCATTTTCTGATTATTTGAAAGTTTTAGACATTGCAGAATTTCATTGCAGAATCATTTTTTATTAAAAGGAAAACCTATTAACGATACAGAGAATTTATCCTGATAATTTACTAGAATTCAATATCTTTAATTGACAACTTTTAGATTGTGCTATTCAAATTAATCGGACCAGTATATTAGTTAATGAATTTCTTGAAATATTAAAAATCCAAGGTTTGAAACTTCGCGAAGATGCAAGAAAAATTTTTGAAAACACCAAGAGGTATAACTAAGTTATACCTAGAGGTGTTTTTAAAACTTTCTCTGCATCTTCGAGATAAACAGTTATTAACTGTTCCTAAAAAGTGTGGCAATAGTTATTCTTATTTTGAAATACAGGCAAGTATTAAGAACATTTTTTTTTTGAATTTGATAATTAATGGTTTACCTTGATTTAAATTCTCAAGTAAACAATTGTGGCCAATACTAGCTTGCTTTGATTATTTTAATATTTTTATAGTTGACATTTATTGAAGTGAAACCAAGCCTAATTCACTAACTAAATACCAATTTTTTCATTTAAGTCAAGTCAATAATACAAAATGGTTTTCTATACAGTAAATAATATAAATAAAGACTATATAAAATCTTATAATGGTTACAACTTTTGTGAAATATGTTCCGTTTATGAATCTTATAAAGGAATAATTGTGTTTAATATGGAAATTTTTTACACACCTATCTCTTATATAAGGCAACTGTTACGACTGGTTTAGTTTTTTAAATTAAATTCATTTGAATCATTTCCAAAAAAAAATAACACAAAAAAATAAAGGCTTTAGTTGTACCAGACATTTCAAAATCTGCTTTAAATAATCTTTTGAAGATAGATGTAATTAATTTCGCTATTTTATTTTTCGTTCTTTAAAAATTCCAAATAAATAGTTATAATTAAAATAAATGTTTATATTTATTATTTGATAAAATTTATTTTTTAGTAACTCATCCAACTTCAAATTAGAATGAGAAAAATGTATTTAA